CAGCCGTTATCAACGACAGCATACACAGGTAATCCCTGTTCCACTAATTTCATTTAGCAGGGCCTCCTCCTGCTTTAATGTGACCACATAAGCTCCATGTGGTCACATTGTGCAGCTCAGCAGGTGCAGCAGGAGGAGCAGGAGGAGCAACAGGAGCAGGCGCAGCAGGGGAGCAGCAGGAGCAGGAGGAGCAGGAGGAGCAGGAGGAGCAGGAGGAGCAGGCGCAGCAGAGCTCACAGCCTGGAGAGACGCTGGCGTCTCCTCGCAACTCTGTCCTCAGGATTAGAAGACAGACAGAGGCAGAACATTTCCACCGATTACATGTTTTATTAATTTTGTGATTCACCAGTTAAAGTGTCATATGAGCTCAATGCATTCATTACAGTGGAGCAGCTAACTGCAACTAACTCAGGAGGTCAGGAGGTCAGGAGGTCAGGGCTGGTGCTCCACAATGAACCTTCTAGATTCTTGATTTAGTTTTATTGATTATGCATAAAGTCAAGAAGATCACGAGCCACCCTGACCGTCCTCTTCATGAGAAAACAGAGCATCTTCAGTCAGAGGCTTCTTCAGACTTGCTGCAACACAGACTGCTACAAGAGGTCTTTCCAGCCATAATCCATCAGTATGTACAATATCTCTTCTAAGAATTAGAGTTAATATGAGTTACAACAACATTTATTTGTCTTTGGGATCCATAAAGGATTTCTGAACGAGAGTCTGAACTCATATCCTGATGATTCTGGGAGCCTGAGGGATTCTGGGAACTTTTTCCAACAGGAATGTGGGTTAGAAAACAGGAAGATGATGGAACTATTCACTCAAGGCTTCCTGGGAAAATATTTTCACTCTGATCAGGAGTCATATTCACATTTAATTCATTTTGTTGATTTACATATTCAGTTGCATATTTTAAGCAAATTGCTTCCTTCTCAAGCATTTTTTAAATTTCTATGGCATTGAAGAGATTTTTTTGTCTTCCTAACACAAAAAACATGGACCATTAGTTCGTTCGTCCGTTCGTTAAGTTTATCTTTCATTACTAAAACAATTGTTAGAAATTGAGCAAAAAAAACCCAAACAAACAAAAACAAATGACATGGTCAAAAAACTATGGCAGAAAACACATAATTAACTCTGTTGTAATACATTCAATTCACAACTAGAAACTTATATCGTTTGCTGTTTACTAAAATATTATGAACATATTTAAAATATTTATTTTAAATATTTTAAATATTTATTAACATATTTAAATATATCATCAGTTGGTATTTAATAACAGAGTTGCTTTTTTCAGAGCAACATATTTCTTTTCTGTACATTAGTTATAACATTGGTATTAAAAATAAATTTTAAAAAAAGCATCTCTTTTTAATAGCATGCCAGTAAAATGAAAATGTGTATTTTAGTTTAATGAAATACACATTTCACTAAATGTGTATTTCAGACAATATATAAACAATATATATAGAAACACAATTCCAGGAGTTCTAGTATAAACAATATTTCTAAAAAAAAAAACCCACAAAATGACTAGTTTAATGAATCTTTAACAGGCATCAAATGTAGAATAATGACAACAAAGTACAAAGCGAGATGCTCCACTAAACTTCAAATTATCCAGTTTGAAGTTGATCCCTTGAGGTCTGTGTCAAACTCCAGACCTCAAGGGCCACTGGGTGTCCTGCTAGTTTTAGCTGTGCCTCTGCTGCACCACCTGAATAGAATAATCAGGTCATTAAGACTCTGGAGGTCTGATCTACACAAGGAGGAGGTAATTAAGACATTTTATTCCTGTGTTTGTACTTGAGGCACATTTAAAAACTGCAGGACAGCGAGCGGCCCTTGAGGACTGGAGTTTGACCCCTATGAAGGACAGCAAATAGAAGATCTGCAACAGTCAACTGCCACCACCAGATGGCGTCAGAGCTAACAGATGACACATTACTACAGGAACAAATAAGTTTGTTTCATTCTAATTTCATTTCATCTATGCAACAAAATTTCACCATAAGAGTGAAGGAACTTATGGAGAAAGTAAATAAGTTTAAATCTATAAAATAAATTTGATTATAATTCAAATAAATCAAGATCATTCGTTCTGGATACTAAAGGATGAAACTGGATACCAGTCGATTTGGGGTTGCAAATAATCTGATCTGAATGGAGTAAATACATAAAACACTTTGAGTCTGTTGGATGTATGCAGCAGCAGGCAGCATTGAAAGAACACAGTTCTGAAGTGAGGCAGGGAGTCAGCCTCCTGAGTGACTGCTGCTGGATGACAGCATGTGGATAAACATGTCAAGGACACCAGAGAAAATTAAAGTCCAGTATTATTGTAGCAAACACGCACACCAGAACAATATCAATCTCAGTGGCCTTCTGTTGGGGATGACAGATGCCATTACTGCCAACGTAGTCAAATGTTCCTTAAAAAAACCAAATAGCCCTTTAATTTAGCACTGAATAGGAATCTCCAACACAGATGCTAACTTCCGTCTCATTAGTCTCAAGTGACGTACTGCATGGCTATATTCTGTAAACCATAGAAAATTTGCTGGTTTTTGTGTTACACCCTAGAGCAGGGAGTGACACAAAAACAATTCTTGTTCTTGAGGGCCGGCGTCTGGCAACTCTTAGATGTCTCCCTCATCCAACACACTTGAATCCAACTGAATCGCCTCCTAAGAACGGTCAAGTTCCCTAGAATCCTGCTAATGACATCATTATTTGACTCAGGTGTGTTGAAGTCAAGATACATATAGGTTGCAGGAGACCGGCCCTCGATGCCTGGAGCTGCCCACAGCTGAACTAGAGTGCAGTGTCTAGTTCCAGTGGCCAGTCATAAGGTACTACTGTCCATTGGTCCAGACAGGCTTGAGATGAAACTGTGGCAGACTTAGAGAAAGTCTATTGAATGATTTTAATACTTTTGCGTTGCTCCACATGTGCCTTTATATGCAACTCGGCAGCAGCTGCAAAATTCATTTGTGAAATGTAAATGGAAAGTCCGCTCAGTGATGTGCGCAAAGTTTTGGCTTTATTCTCAGCACTAGAAAAGAAAAGGTCTTCCAGTGACAGTGAGTGCATCAGCACCCTAATGCCCCCCGATACCCCTCTGTTCGTTCCCACCCACTTGCAACACAAAGTTCCACCCTTGCTAATTGCCCTTTTTGAAAAGTAACTTGACAGGAAGTAGGGTGGAGAAGACATGCAGAAAATGACCACATGACCCAGGAGAACCGCATTGAGGACCAGCCTCTGAACACGGTACCAACTGGGCCGCCCGGTGGTAAGGACAGTCTGAGGGGAACATTTCCTGTCTTCCTTAGTGCTGGGCTCCAGCAAACAGGAAGCCACTTTCTAAACACGTCCCTGTTTGTAGAAGACAAACACTTGTGAACATTTGATTATTTCCTTCCAGATTTTTGGCCTCGTTATATTTTCACCATCAAACTCACAAAAAATGTTTGAGCACCCTGATGTTGAACACCATGGATGTGTTGGGGAGTCTGTCTTTCCCTTTATCTTTTTTAGCCTCTTATCTGCTGACACGCACACACTGCAGCTTACATAACCATGTTTATGTGCGACTGCCATCAGTCATACGTAAACAGACTGAAACTGATTAGACTACCCTTTAGGGAGGGTACAGATTGCAGAGAAGAATAAAAAAAATGAACTCGTTCTACAATCTTTGCCTCACATACATGTAACTCTGTATCTGTTCCATCTGCGTGACATGTATCGCTTGTAACACTTGATCATTTTTAGGTATTAACACCTAAAAATAACCAAACCTCATTAATTCTCTAGGTGATTTACACTGAGGGGTTCTGATCAGGTCCTGAAACCGGTAAACGGACCTGATGGAGCACAAAATGAATGAAGTCCAACAGAGGCTATGAAAAACTGTCCTTTCTCTTTGACTGTTGGAGAAACTGAGCAGACCTCTGAAAGAATCTGAGATGCAATAAAAGGCTTGTAAAGCAAATTTTTATTTAACAAATAAATCACAATTACAGATAAATGTAATTGTGCTGCTTTATATAAAAAAAATTCCCTTCTCACCCACCACGGGTGGTTCTTATCCTCTGAGCTCGGGTCCTCTACCAGAGGATATATATATATATATATATATATATATATATATATATATATATATATATATATATATATATATATATATATATATATATATATATATATATTTTATTTATTTATTTATTTTTTACAACCATTCAAAACAATTCATTTTCAGTCTAATTTATTTTTAATTCCCCCAATTTTAGATTCAGTTACAGAGAAATGTACAATAAAATCATTCCAGTTCATCGCAATGAGGGAGAAATTATTTGGTAAGATGGTTTTAAAGTTATATTTTATAATTCCTTAAGGTTTGAAGGGGCAGTGTATCCCCATCCAATACTACAATCAAGTAACCGTTATCAGAAAGCTGTATATATCAAATATGACTTAAAAAGAAATTTAACTTTTCAATTTGATGCCTCTGTCTCTTTAAGAAGCTCCTGCTCTTTCCAATACTAAACCTACAAGAAGTCATCATAAAAATGCTCCTCCATTGTGCCATTTACAATCGTTCTTTGTAGCGTTGCACGTAGTAGTTCGTATGATGAGTTCAGCAGTTCCACCAGGTGTTTGCTAGTTGCTGCTGCCACTAGTCTGGAGGAGTAGAGTAGGGGAAGGGTACTCTGTAGAGCAGGAGCTTGGTTGGGGGTTGTGACTTCACTGAGGAGCACTTTGTGAGAGTAAGTGTTTATACAACCCCAATGGTTGCCATGGGAGATTGAAGGATTTCTCAAAGATGAGTGAAAGAATCAAAGCAACACTCCAGGTATGTTTTTGATGAGGGAAAAACATCATAACACGCCGAAAAGCTCAAAAAAAGGTTGATTTTACATAATACCCCAAATCAAAAAGCTCCTCAACACGTCTTCAGTGGCCTATGCAGGATTCCTTGTCGTTTACGGTTTGGTCTTCATCTTCTTGCGCCTCTTTAAACAGCATTTCACCACGCCAACGATGACCAGTATCAGCAGCAGCACAGCAACCACAGTCAGTACGGGGATCAGGATGTGTAACAGTGACTTGTCAGATGTAGCTGGTGCCACCTGGTCACAGTCCTGCTCATCGGCACAGACGCACCTGTAGGAACCCTCGGTGTTCTGGCAGGTGTGCTGGCAGGGCTTCCCGGTGCTGCACTCATCCACATCCACACAGAACCCTGAACCGTTTTTCTGGAAGCCTTCTTCACACTTCAGGCAGATGATGCTGAAATTAGCGGGGGAGCCATCCAGCACTCGCCACACAGCAGGAAACCCTGAACAGAACAGGTCCAACTTCACGGCAGACCAACACTCAACCAGGACTTTGTTGCCGTCGTTGGAATCAGCCATCAGGGAGCGAATGCTGGGATGCTTGGGGTCTTTGGACCGCTCACAGGACTCTGGCTCTGATGTCAAGATGTTAGGATGGAACGTTGCTGAGTCGGGTTTTGATGTTGTTGGGCTCGTTTTCAGCTGTAGCTCTGTATGCGCGTCACTCCCTTTGCAGATGAAATGGTAGTGGGTTTTACAGCTGGTGGGAATTAAACCCCAAGTAAGTTCTGACTGGACACGCTGCTGCCTCAGAGCCCCACATAACATCCCTGTACAGGTGAGCTTCGGCTCCTCCAGCCAGTTGATGGCGCTGGCCTCCTGGCTACCGTTCTCGACCCACTTGAATCCTCTCAGAGGTTGTCCATCAGTACTACATTCGTGTTTGGGCTTCCTCAGCCCGACCCAGACGGTGACATTTTCCTGAAATGACTTTGACTTGTTGAGAAGCTGGAATATTTCCTGCAGCTCTTGCTGGGAGGCCACAGAGGGCAGAACACCAGGATGGCAGTTCACCACGGCCTGGTCAAAGGAAGCTTTGCTGCTGCTCACACTGTATTCAGTGTGTGAGGACACGGCAGTGGAGACATTGCTCAGCAGGAAGACAACCATCCAAAGGGAACTCCACCAGCAGCAGAGTCGAAATTCCATTTCCTCAAGCTCCGCCCCCCTTGGTGATGATGTCACTGTCAAAATAAGCAATATTATTCATTAAAGCCGTGACGGTCGGGAATAGGACAATTATTCCCACAGCTTCATTTACAACTATTTCATTTTAATTCAGATCGTCAGCTTATTCTTCTTGGATTTTAACTGTTTCCATGACGATGTATATCAATTGAATTTAACTGAAATTTATTTCAGTCACTATTCACTAAATGAATGACACACAGACCTTTATTCTTGTTCATTAGAATGATTTTGTCCTTATAGTAATGGAAACACATTTGAGATCAATTAGAAGCATTTTTAATACAGAAATGTTAAAGACCTGCTTAAAGGTTGTCTTCAAAAGACTTTTTGAATCTGAGAAATGAGCCTGAATGTGGATTCTAACTTATTGAACATGACTGCACACGTTCTGTTATCATGATGCATTTTGTGTGAAGTGATGTGGAACTGTGTGAAAGTGTCCGTGCCTCATTAATGTCTGCGTAAAGTTACAGAGATGAAGTTCATTGGAGCTCGTGATGTGGATCAGAACCAGGTAGTGAAAATATGTTTGTGGAAAAATTTTTGGTTTGTTTTCCGAATAAAAAAAATGTGAAATGCATTTGCGTTCAGAACTGGGGTCAATATGTCTCTGCTAACTCTAGAGAAATGTTTGCCCGTTCTTCTTTGCAAACTTTAGAGTTTGAGCTCTTTTGACTTTTTTCTATAAAGGATCTTGTCTATAGATTTTCCTGCTGAGTCGTGGATCTCTGGTCAGATTAGCTGAGTTTGAGCTTAAGATGTTTGCACTGGGTGATCAGTTCCTAAAACAAGCAAAAAAATAGTCAACTTTCACACTCACTTTCTTCATGCTATTTGTGTCAGTGTAAAAGTTTTTCTAGGTGAAAGTTTTACTAAGAAGATGTCTCAAAAACAAACAAAAAACAACCAACCAGAAATGGTTGAATCTGTCTGGTTAGTTGGTCTCTTACCGTTAGTTACTTGTCCAGGTTTTGATTCGGTCGTTTCGTTTCCTCCTCCTCTCCCTCTTTCTGTTGTTTGTTCTCAGGTTATTGTCTCCTCCACTCTTTACAGTTTTGTCCTCCTGACTCTGGGAAAAAAAAAACTTCTTTCTTTCCACTTCTCCTAGTTTATCTTGTATCTCTTTCCTCGGGTTCCTCCTTCACAGTAGTTGTGCTGGCAGATTGCTGGCTTCACTCCCCCACACCCAGCCGCCCCACCGACCCCTGCAGCCTCCCTCTCCTCCTGGACAGGAAGTGTGTTGGGTCTTGATATGGTCAGCTGTTTTCCTGCACAGGGACGCCGTCAACTAATCAGATTGAAAAACTCTTGAGACATTCAGACCAAAACCTCAGCTTGTGATTTAGTATTTTCTGAGCTGAAGTAATTCCCAGTTGAATCCTGGGAAGTGGACATGTGACAGCACCAGGTGGGTTTTTCTTCATCTCAGTGGCCACTTTATTAGGTACACCTGTTCCATTGCGTTTCAACACATGGGTTTAACAAAGGTCATGTCCACCAATAGATGGTGTTATTGAGAAGTGCAAACAGCAACTTTCCCGCTCCGAGTCTCAGGACACTATGGAGGACACGTCTTATCAGCGTCCTTTTATTCTCTTTAAAGTTGCTCACAGCTCGGATCTGAACAAACAGTGGAAAGGCGCAGGGAAGCCGATAGGGTAAGTGGTGACTTCGGCATTTCCAGGCGGCGCTGTGCAAAGAATGACAGGAAGTACGGCTGTGGAGGGGAAAGCCATTTCTGACAAAGGTTTTCTCATGGTTAGAAATGTAATGGGCGTGTTAACACTCAGCGCTCTGAACGCTGCAGGGCTCTGACATCATAGCAACACCGGTAAACAGCATCAGCACACGGGAGCACAGTTGGAACGACTGGAGACGTCTGGAAGTTTGACAAAAATCACAGAGGATTTTTGTAAACACAAACTTCAGTGTGTTTTGTTGGAATTAAATATGAAAGACCAGAAAAATGTGGAGGGTGTTTCCAGAGGGAAAATGAATGAGGTTTAGACTTGGACAGCCTTTATTTATTTGTCTATTCATTTATTTTTTTAGCTATTCATAAAGTGACTAAGAGACAAACACAAAGTTCTATCAAGCATGGATGGAACTGGATGGTCAAGTATGGAAAGTTATCAGAAATAAGTTAAGCTGCTCCACATGTTTTAAAGTTGCCTTTGATACACAACTGGAACATCAGACTGTAGTCTGTTTTTCAGTCCGTCATCATTTTCCATTTCTTTACCACAGTGACGTAATGATTTTCCATTTTGCTCGTTTGTTGTTTGATTTTTTGTTGTAATCATATGAAGCACTTTGAGAAGCCTTGTTGCTGAAACTAAAGTCAAATAAAATTGCCTTGAAAATAAAATTTTAAAAAATCCAAAAATTGATAACCACTAGAACAGGTCACAACATATACAGCAACGAATGATGTTCTGTTCCAGTTAGGTGATAAAGTTAGAGAGGGATTCAATATTGGAAATGATCATTTCCATTTTCTGGGCTAAATGTGAAGGAACACGCAGACAGCAGTGGGTTCTCCACAGCACAACTTTACTGCAAACATGAAACAGACAGAATGACAGGAATACATGCATTCACTTGCCTGGGCAAAACTCTTACTGTTTGAACTGAAGACGGGTTCTTTAAAGAAACCAGTCGAGGAGAAGACGATAAACTGGCTCACATAAATAGAAACAAACACTGTAGAACCAAAACGAAGGGAGAAAAAATTGCGGCTGTATGTTTACTATGGAGTATCTGCTTAATGTTTGTGAAATTAGTCAAATATGGAAATATAAACCAGCAATACATTCATTGCAAAGACTCCAAGCTGGTTTCTATGCTGCTCACAGATTACGGTTGGAGTTTTTGTTGGATGTCACGCTGGCAGACTCTTTAAAAGTCTCACTTAAAATGTTTGTAACATTCAGATGAAGCAAAGTTGACACCCAGAAGGACACTAGAGCTGCTTACCGCTCTGCAGGCGCCGTCCTGACCTGCTCAGGTTTAGATTAGATGAGAACATTTACTGACCGACGCAGGAGCAGCCGTGTGACTTTGCGGCAAAATGAAAAACTAACGAGTGGAAATATTCTGGACCTGCTGCTGACAGTAACACTGACGGAAACGGAGTGCTTGTTGCTCGGTTCAGGCAGCGAACGCATGCACAAGGCGGGGTCAGACGGGGTAAGACGGGGTCAGGCAGCGCTGGAGACGGCCAGCTTCTTCAGGTGGTCCATGAATACCTGCAGGCTGACGTCGTCGGTAAGGATGGGAGCCCCGGACTCCTGAGCAAAAAACAAACCCTGTCAGCATTTTGTCTGATCGGCTGAGGTCAAAGGTCGCCAGCAGGGTTCTTACCTGTCCCCACGTGTACATGTTGTTGTGAGTTTGAGAAGGGTTGACCTTGGAGAGCAGGAAACGAGCCTGAAACCATACAGAAGGTTCTGCTCAGATTGTGTCCATCAGACAGGGTCAGAACAGTTTTAGTTTTATTTCATTGTGACTTTTTCTTTGTCCAGCTCAGTTAGTTTTAATTAGCTTTTAAAGTGTGCTTGGTGGTTTTCATTTTAGTTCTTTTTTTATATTTTGGTTAACATTTAGGGTTCTTCTGCATTTTTTCAGTTGATTTCTAACATTCTGGACATTTGTGAACAAACCCACATTGCCAGGGTTTTATTTTATTTTTATCTCATTGCTTACGGTGTTATATTTTCATCATGTGAAGCTCTTTGAACTGCCATGTTGCTTAAATGTTCTTGACTGCATTCAGCAGGGTGGTGAGAAACAGTTTCTTTACTTTTGCCGTATTAATTGGTGGAAGAAAAACTACATTTTTCAGAAATTTCGATTTCATCTTTGTTTATTCGTAATCATTTCAAAAGGTTTTTTGTTTGGTTCCTTCATGACCTTGAATGCCTGTGTTAGATGTGTGTCTGTGTGAGTGAAAAGCGGACAGCGCCCCCACCTGGCTGCCACCGTGCTCCGTGTCGATGTATCTCGGCATGGGGAAGCGAGTGTGCAGCAGCTCTTGAGCGTCATCCACTGGAGCTTGGAGGAGGTGCTTAAAGTTTTCGTACTCAGGCATCTCCTGGTAGCCAGCCTTCCTCCACTGAGACACAGTCTGAAAGAGACAGACGCTTACACACACATTTGTTCCAGAGCCAACACACACACCTCCTCCAATCAGCTCATACCTCTCCATGGTAGATGACGATCTGGAAGAAGGTGTCCATCAGCAGAATTCGGTCCGGCAGGATGCTGCTGCTGTCCAAGAGCACCGGCTGAAACACACACACACACACACACACACACACACACACACCCACACACACACACACACACACACACACACACACACACACACACACACACACACACACACACACACACACACACACACACACCACACCACACACACACACACACTTTATCAGTCAGCAGGTCGATAATGAAAACTTGATTTTAACAGTAAACTGTGAGGCTCGTTACCTCAGGTGGGCCGTTGAAGGAGTAGGCGTACAGCACAGGCTGGATCATGATGAGGGCCTGGGTCAGGTCCTGTCTGTTGAAATGGTGCCGGTAATAGGAACTCTCATCTGGACTGTTGTTGAACACCTGCAGGAACGGGGAGCGCCGCAGATGGAACATGAACTGGAAAGAAGAAGAAAAAAAAACATTTAGTGAAAGCAGGACAGAACAGCTGGGCAGTGACTGTTGGGGCGACATGCAGGTCACCTGAGGATAGAGGGAGAACGTCTCAGAAAATCTAAAGGAGTTGGGATCGTCCTTGTGATAGTCACCAAACTTCTGACACTGCACACAAACATCGAGCAACAAGAGGTTAAATCTGGTTGATTTTTTTTATAGTTATTTCAAATGTGTTATTATGGAGACACTGTGTCCTACCAGTCTGATGAGCTGTCTGTCCAACCATCGAAGCACATCAGGTCCCTCCTCCGTTTCTGCCCGGTAAACCGCCAACCTGGCCATCAAGATGGCTGCCGCCTCCTGGTCGAACGATGCAGCTATACTCTGGATCTGACTCTGAGCATCAGCCCAGCTGAAAGAAACATGAGGTTGTAAATAGACACGTATGCAACGCACAACACTTGGAAATTTGTATGTGGGCGACTAAAGGACTCAAGAAAGAAGATTTTCAAGACAGCTTCTTATTTTCTGTCACATCTGAATGAGAGGCTCAAGTTCTTCAGTTTTCAAAATGTATTTTCTTGTCTATAAACTTACAAAGATAGACATGAAGTTATGTAACATTAGTATGTTATCAGATTTCCAATGTTTCAGTTACCATCCTTCGCTCATGTTAGGGCAGAACTAGGGACGCACTGATCCAATTCTGATACCGATATCTGAGGTCTAGTATCAGCTGATACCATACAGAAAAATAATGCTGAATTGACTTAAAACATTTCTTTTTTTGCCAAACAGACATAAATGTTCTGAATTAATTAACAGTATAGCACAATGAAATACAACAGCAGCTCCACCAGCTGGTCAAAAATGGAAAAACAACTTTCATTTGACCAGTCAGTGTTAGAATGGAAAATGAATAACAAAGAAACTGTGAAAAACAATAGGTTGACTGCCTTGGGTTGACTGCCTTGGTCAAATATGTAAAAAAACAAAATTAGAAACAGGTCTGCCCTAATGGATAAGGCACATCGTCATCGATCCCCGATCTGAAATAGTTTTGATATTGGGACCGATACAGACCGTAATATGGATCCCTAGATGGAATTATACATTTTTAATATGACATGAGATGGAGACAGGAGCACAGCGTGTGGTTGCACTGTCATACTTTCTTGCAGTTGTGGTGACTCGGATGCGCCTTTGTCCTGAGGAGTGCTGGTACTGCGTGACGAACTGGATGGCTCCGCGGCCACCTTGAGGGATTGGAGCATTGTGCTGTAGAAGAACCAGAAGCAGGACGATCAGTAATCTGTATGGAGGGATCGTCCGGTGGCAGCACTCAGGTGGATCAAGAGGACGATTACGTGAATCGGACCATGTGGTTTTTGCCACATGGGTAATCAAGACAATTGCAGTGTGTTTCAAAAACTTGCACAGTCTGTATTTAGGTGAACACTGCTGAACGTAGTTTACTTCTTGGACAATGTTTACTGATCACAGTATATCAAAAG